CTTCAAAAATGCCAAATTTAAAATTAAAAAAATTTTTTTAACTATGATTCTTTCACTGACCACCTATTCACATCGTGCGGAACACCAGTGTTCCACGGACCCTGTTTGGGAAACACTGAACTAAACAATCAGACCTCTCACTGCCACCCATCAGTTGCCAGAGATATGACAAATCTATGGGAACTTGCCTTGCCACCTTCTAGCCTCATAAGCAAGGCAGCTTGTCACCCCTCAACGTCGAGACACACAGACAACACAGACACACATTTTGCTCAGCGCCAGGCTGAGAAGCCTGAGCAAGGCCCAGACAGCAGCAATAATTCACTTTCCCTGGGCTGCTGAGCGGAGAGCAGCAACCCATCCGCCCCTCTGCGTACCGTCAGCCTGAGCTGTGCACCAGCTCCAGAAAACAGAGCGCGCGGGGAGGTGCTTGTTGGTACGTGCCCAGCACAGAGCCCCGTGGCTCAAGCCCTGGGCAGGAGAGCACCAGAACACATCCCCCCATAGCAGCATCTGCAGGCCAGCTGCCCTACGGACTGCTCCCAGTCCCTACGCTCTGAGAGACTGGAGCAGGGGCAGCTCAAGGCGCCAGCACACCAAGTGCGTGCCTGGGGCGGCAAGCCGCGGGGGGGCGCCCTGCCGGTCGGTTCGAGGACGGCAGTCAGGCTGCCTTCGGCGGCATGGCTGTGGGAGGTCCGCCGGTCCCGCGGCTTCGGCGGCAATTTGGCGGCGGGCACGCCAAAGGTGCAGGACCAGCGAACCTCCCGCAGGCATGCCGCCGAATCCGCGTTACCAGCGGACCTCCGGCAGGCATACCACCGAAGGCTGCCTAACTGCCATGCTTGGGGCGGCAAAAACCATAGAGCCGCCCCTGGCTGGAGTGTATTTTCCTGCCCTCCCAGCCTGTGGGCTTGGGCTTTCCTCTCTACTCCATGACCTGCTCCTCCCGGTAAGGCAGAGCTAACAATCAATAGTACAGCTTTCAATAGTTTGGCACATTATTTTCCAACATTAAACAAAAAGAAAATACATTTGTGTTAAAAATAATGCAGGCCAGGGCAGGCGTCTCATTCCAGCTTGTGCACGAAGCCATCCACGGTGGGGATCTCCTGGTCTCTTTCCTTGTGGGGATCTACCATGTGGCTGTACCTTTCTCCTCGGTGACATTCCAGAGAGGGACCCCAGTTAGCAGCCGGCCGGCAGCAGCTCACAATACGCTGGGAAGCAAAAAACACAGGATTTAATTTCCAGCTGCTGCTGTTTCTTTGCATGTTTTTATTCTCTTCAGCATGCTTTATTTGGTAATTTTTTCTTGCACAGTGGGGAGAAATCGAAACACCAACCTCCCCGCTGCTCCAATCCCCCACCTCAGGTTCAAAATCAAAGCAATCCAAATATTTGGTTACAAATCACAAGTGCCCAGTAAGTTCAGTTGCATTTAGAACCTGCAAAAGAACCTGCTTCAATACAGAAATAAGATCCCCCTCCAACCCCATACCCCTAGTTGTCCCCACCACCCCACGCTGGAACCCATACGGGGTAACATCAAACAATTGCACCCCCACTCAATGGAGACCCTATTTGGAAAAAAATATTTCCTGAACCCCCTCTTCAGCCTTCAAACAACCCCCCAGCCTCTACAAGCTCATCATCACAAGCAAGCTCCCCACAGACCAGGAGACACCAACTCAAAGCGGCACCAGACCCTGCCAGAACAATTGATGCAAAACCTGCAGACATATCTCCACTTCTACAATGATCAACAACCCCCACAACACACCTTTCAAGATCCATGGTCCTACACAAGCCTATCACAATGTGTGGTGTACCTCATCCAGTGCATTAAATGCCCAATTACATCTGTGTGGGTGAAACCCAACAATCACTACATTCTCGAATGAGCTCACGCAGGAAAATGAAAAAAAGGCAAAACCACCCTGTCACCTGTGGGTGAACACTTTCCCCAAAGCGATCACTCTACATCTGATCTCTGTCCCCATCCTCCAGGGAAATCTGCACAACACCTTCAAAAGACAAGCCTGGGAGCTTAAATTAATCACTTTGCTAGACACTAAAAACCATGATCTTCATAAAGACACTGGATTTATGGCTTATTACAACAATCTATACCTACTACTCCCCTCCCCTTTTTGTCCAATGGCGACAGGGGTGTTAATGGGCCATTTCACCTTGAACGGTCCCTCAGAAAATGTGCTAATTACTTATGCTAAATTATCGGTTGGACCCTGTATTTAGCTGTGACACTCTCACGACCTTTCCCAGGCCTGAAGAGTTCCATGTATCTTCAAAGCTTGTCTCTCTCACCAAGAGAAGTGGGTCACCCACTTTGTCTCTTCCTCAGTCCGAACCCTCCTTAACTACAGTGGGATGTGGCCCGAGTGAAGATGCGAGCCTGACTGTAGATTTGAAGTTGCATCATTCAGCACTGAGATGACAACGGAAGCAGTAAATGAGACCATGAAGATCAGGACAGACTGCATGTCTGTACCACAGGGACACACTGACCACGGCCAAATGACTATGAAATTCCAAGGGAATTACTGATACCTTCGTCTGACAACTAGTCGGGCCAAATTCACCTCTGGCAATGCCAGGATTTGATTTGATCCAACAAGTTTGTCTGATTAATGTAAGAAGTCAGAGTCGGATCCTGCCCCCAGTAAGGTCACTGTGCGTGTCCCCATTAACATCCATCAGGGCAGCTGACACTGTGGCCCCATTGCAGCTCTTCTCTTCGACCTTTACCTGCCACAGATTTCCTGGCGCTTTCACTATTTTTACAATCGCGACAATGGGAATCCAGACGATGCAGAAGACAATCATGCACCAGCCCACAGCCGATCCCCACGCAGGGTATTCGACTGAGCCATACTTGGGAGGTGAAAATGTGACCAAAGACCAGCATAAAATCACCTGTTGAAAAAAAAAAGAGGGAGAAAACTTGACTAAAGCTCAGAGCGATTTGTACTGATTACAGAACACACAACTGACCAATTTATCTCCAAGAGAACCTCTGCTGCTTTGACAGAGATCTAGGTGCTTTCTGTAGACAGTCTCTGGCTTGCAGTTCAGGGTTTTGTTTCCAAATGTGGGCAGGCAATAAGAATGATCATGCATCGCTCCCTACCGACCTACAAGTATCCATTGACATGCATGCACACACGTGCTGTATTTTTTATATTTAAACACCCGTGTTGCTCAGAAATCTGCATAGCTCGGCAGGCACATTTCTCACACATTCGGTTTGCATGCACAGGCATGCTCTGAGGATGTGGAAGGGACGGCTCACTATACCTCTGTGCGCTAGTCGAATGTTTACAGGATTGGGGCAAAGAATGCTGAGTTAAGTTCTGGAGAGCATTCCTGCCCAGGTAAGATATTGACATTGAGCATTTCCTCGCGGGTATCCTAAAGAGATTAGAGAGAATGTTGTTGCTAGAAAGGGATCTGTAACAGTTGCAGGTGTGGTTTTTGGTTTTGTTTTACATAGTGCACATATTAAAGAGGAGAAGCACATGAGAGCACAAAGGAGCAATGATCTGAAAGAACCTGAAGAGTAAGGAATGTGGTGAAAGGGCTGGTTCATCCCAGGTGTAATGCCATTGGCCTCAGTAGAATTGTGTCAGGGATTTAGTAGCCCAAATCAAGTCCATCAGGAATGTGGGGAAGAGAAAGGGTGGGAACTGAGAGGAGAAATTTCAGAGTGATGAACAAGTATTCCATGTAAGGCCTTTGATACAAGGGGCTTCATATGAGGAAGATGAGATGGATGGTAGATTCAGAACTGGCTGGGAGCACGTTTGGAAAAGTCAGAGCTATTCTGCCGGGCACTAGAGCTGGTCTGAACATGGAATTTCCATCCCACGGGAAATTCCAATATCCCAAACTGGGACAAGCCAGGGGATGTGACAAAAAGGGGGAAGCGGCTGGAAACGTCAGCCCCATACACCAGTGGGGGAGCTGGGGGCCAGAACCTGCCCCGTGGCCAGAAAGCAGTCAGCTTCTCCAGGGAAGGGAACTCATGCCAGAGAGCTCCCTGCCCCGCCCCACATTCAGGTCCACACAGATCCTGAAACACTTCCCCTTCTGCTAAGGCCATACACCAGCCCTAGGGCTGCAGCAAACCCCACTCACCTCCTGCTGGGCAGTGTTGGAGATATGGAGACCTTGTTGCTCTCACTTTATCTAATGACTTAGTTGCCATTAGCCTGATCTTCAGGAATGGCCTTTTGGCTCCTAGCACTGCCAGTAACCCCTTGTGCGTTCCTTAACCCTTGGGTTGCTAGGCACTGGTCCAGTGCAGAGCAGCAACCCCGGGCTGGTTTAAATTTCAGCCCCAGTTGCGATGGCCAGGCACTGCCAGAGCCCCAGGGCAGCAGCCATGCCTCCTGTGCCCAGGGAGGGATGTTTGGCAGGGATGGCGTCTGAGTTGCCACACATGTGGAGAACCCTCAGCTGGCCTGTTACGCTGGCTTTAACGCAGGCTGAAAGGGGCAGCCCCAAATCTCTACATGGAACCTGTTCAACGTGGAATGAATATGTTCGTGGCCAAAAATTCAAAGTAGTTCGACCGTGATACTTACACATAAGAGAACAGGGGTAATGAAGAACCAGCATGCTCTCCACCACAGCCAGAACCACCAGCTCTTCTTTCCAATCATCATTTCAATGTCTTGGATAAATCGGTTTCCTCCTATTCAAAGATGGCCAGAGAGTGCACTGTAAGATCGGGGTCTAGAACATGGGTTTTATGATGTACAGAAAGCAATATGGGGAGCGCTACAAAGCATGGATGCATTGCTCCTTATAATTATATGTTCATGGAGGATCGGTCCAGAAATGGCTATTAGCCAGGATGGGCAGGGATGAAACCCCATGCTCGGAGTGTCCCTAGCCTCTGACTGCCAGAACCTGGGAATAGACAACGGGGTGTGGATCACTCAGTAATTGCCCTGTTCTGTTCATTCCCTTTGAAGCATCTGGCATTAGCCACTGTCAGGAGACAGGCTACTGGGCTAGATGGACCATTGGTCTGACCCAGTCTGGCCATTCTTATGTGCTAATGATTTGGAACAAGAGATATTTTTAACCATTGAGATATTATGCACATTTTTCTGTAGAATGTTTTGGTTTTATGTCTGTGATATGACTGGGATTATTTGCATTGCCACAGCTTGATTTTCCAGTGTCAGTGATTTACCATAAATCCAGCTAATGCCTATTATTTCCAGGACCGCTGCAAAAAGGATCCCCCATCCAGCGCAGAAATGATCCACTAGGTTAACCCAGTAAATTCCTGCCTGAAAAACAAACAACAAAGAGGTAGCTTTTCACCCAGTAACCTTTTGTATGGCAGTCCGAGGCGCTCATGCCACTGAATTAAACCTCAGTCTGGGTTTTTATTTAAAACCCCTGTTTCCCAGGGGTGGATATCTCATTCATTGCACATTATTTCATTTAAATAGTTATATTTAACACAGACCAGTGCATTGTATGGCATACTCCTGATCACTATTGTAATAACAAAGCACATATAAAAACACACCTAACAGGACAGCGGGGTTCAAACCTGGGACCCTGGGCTCTATAACATCAGCTTTTGTGGCCTGAGCTAAAGGAGTAACACTAGCAGTGGGCTGCTGAAGTTGACTTTTATCCTCTGTTACGTACCAGCCACTAGAGGGGGACACAGACCTAGAAGTTCCTTGTGTGGGTTACACACAAAGATTATACAAATTAATCTCCTGAACTGAAGAAAAAAATTAAATCAACAGCTCACAGACACTAAAAGAACAGCTCACAAATTAAAAGCTGACAAAGGCTCGCATTTAAAAAATTAGAGTCATTTCAGAGGACTGGATTCTGCAAATACTGCCATTAGGATTTCTTGTATGCATAAATTAAGCATGTCCATAGGTGTTTGCAGAACTGGGGGCATGGAGGTCACCTTTCTCAGAATACATAAACACAGGACTATGCTGATAGTAGGGACTTGCTTGTCACATGGGAAAATGATTGTATTGTCTTGGACAAATTCCCCCACCAGCTGAACTATAAGTAAACCCATTGCCAACAAAGAGTTAACGTTATACCTGAGTGACACAGATGAGACCAAGAAAAAACAGAAGCATGCATAATCCCAGGGTTACAGGAACCCTCATCTTTTTCATCACCTTGGGGTATATATCTTGTATGGTGGTTGTCACTGTTTCTGCAGGGGAAGAGAGACTTTTACTTGTTGGACATAGGCAGCAAAATGAAGAAATGCAGCTAACACTAACCAAGAGACATTTTGTTATTTTAAGCAGAACGGTGTGAATAACTGATTTTTTTGTTCACTGGCTGTTCTCAAAATAAATAAATAAATAAATAAATGCACGTCTATCCCGATATAACGCTGTCTTGGGAGCCAAAAAATCTTACTGCAGTATAGGTGAAACCGCGTTATATCGAACTTGCTTTGATCCGCCAGAGCATGCAGCCCCACCCCCCTGGAGCACTGCTTTACCGCGTTATCTCCGAATTCGTGTTATATTGGGTCGCGTTATATTGGGGTAGAGGTGTAATTGTCGACTTCAATCCACTTGAAATGAAAATTTTTCAACATGTTCAGCAAACTGAAAAGTTGAAAAAAAATCATTCTGCATTGAACAAAACATTTTGTTCAACCTGAAATTTTCAAGCGTTTTTAAAATTTCTTCAAAATAAA